AACGGCAGAAAATATATTGCAACTAATAATATAATCGATAAGAACCTCGCAAACACTCCTCTAAGAAAAGAAAAAAGAAAAAACACATGCATCGATCATTTGAATTGAAATCAGCAATTCTCAGAGGCATCGACACTTTTATCGCTGGTCATTTAGACTGGATTTCAACCGTCGCGAGAGGCGTGCGAGAGCGTGATTTATTTCCGTTTTACGGAAATAAATGCGATCATGTGAGTGTTTCTCGAGTGCATCGCGAGCGAAAGGAGGAGAGAAAGATGGATCTCCGTTTAAGTAATCGATATACGTTAGCGTTAAATCCGTTCATGCACATGTATACCGATCGCCGAGCAACAGCATGTAGCGCGCACGAAAATAAAAAAGAAAAAAAAAGGGTGTAAATAAAAGTGGAACACGCGAAAAGAGCATTTGTAAAACTGTAGTTTAGTCCGGACGTGACGTCCTCGAAGAAGCGAGTTTACCCGGAGAACGAGAAACTGCGTTTTTACCTCTCCATAAAAAAAAATTTCATTCCACATCGCGAAAAAAATCGAACGATGATTCGGCATCGATGATCTATGTTTTGTGATGACATAATTACGAGCCTTGCCGACAAAACTACTTTCTCTTACCGTCTGCTAAGAAAAAAGTGTCAAGGATAACGTAACAATCTACGATTTTATTGCGTTAAATCGAACTCTTTAATAAGCAAATAAATTGCTAAATCTTGATACTTGTAATATTTCGATGAGATTTTTTTTTTAGGACATTTTTTTTATTACGTCTCATAAAACTCGTTCGAGTAATTGATTATCTTTGTTTACTTTATGGAACATTTTATTCAGCATAGAACTAATTGATGACGTTTATTATACTGCAATCGATTATTGCTGTAATGCGCGGAAAAGATTCCTGCACTGAGATTAAAATTTCGAGGGAGACTAGCATTGTCCACCTTTACGGTTTACATTATCGCGTTTTTCACCGTAAGATACGTACTTTGTTTCTAGCTCACGTGAAATCGCTTAATTCCTCGAGACGATGCTCGACGGATGCTCGTCGTATCTCGAGATCGGGGTCGATGATATTTAAAAAAAAATTCGGATGCGTCTTTGCCTACGTACGTATGATGTGAGTACAGAGCGTGTTGGAGCACAGATCGAGCACCGTGATCGTAGGAAAGATCATATCTCTAGAAAATATACAAACCTCGCGAAGGTCCCATCTTTCGGAAAAGAGAAAAGAAAAATCGAGGCCGCCGAAGCGCCTCCGACTTGAAACGAAGATGTATCGACTTGTAATCATTCCATTGCATATTATATATACTATTAAGGTTTAGTGCGGCAGTATATTGTAAATCCATAGAAGTTATTACTATTATCGTAATAATTATTATGTAATAAATATTGTTGTTAACATAAAATGGCCTTGATGTTGTTGTTGCGAGGATACCCGTTACGAAAGAAATCTGTTAAAGCAGTGAGTACAAGTAGTCGAATTGAATAAAACACAAGTACAGTCTAGTAATGTTTGTATTGCAAAGATCTCTTCACAAGACAAAAGCCTTTGCTCCCAGGTTCAAATCAATTACATTATAGACTACAAAAATTAATTATGACATATTAATAATGATGTATTACACAACTATCGCACAACGATTTGGATCGCGCTACCGGAGGTGACTTTAGAAGGGAGGAATAAAAGAGGATTTATATTAGAATACTATACAACGTAAAATTAAGTTTAAAACTACGCAAGCGGATCATGTGTTTTACAAAATATATTACTTTACCGTTGTGAAATAACTTTTATAAATTTTAACGAGATACAGACACTCGAAAATACAGATTTTCGAAAACTTCGCAAATCTTACAAAATAAATTCGTTGCGCAAAGCTACCTCACTTGATGTAACTCAACTCCGTTTTTTACAACGTTCGGTGACGCGATCTGTTGGAATAGAATATGCGCGTTTAAACATGACAAACAGATTCGTCTGCATACACTGAGAGATTCCCATCTCGTAAAACACGCGCGGCTTTAAATAAATAACGCGTACGAGAACCAGCGCGGTAAGAGCGGGAGTGAAAGTGTTACGTGTTAAGCACGCGAATCTTTGACTATACTTAATTAATCGGTCATCGATCGGACGTCAATGAACGGCACGAGGCACGCAATTTC